TCAGTGTGTGTCATAGTGACCAGTCATTTCCAGTCATTCTGCTGTTAGGGTCAATTTGCATATTACCCTTTTATTATATAGGATAGAGGCCTGGTGCATGGGTGGGGGCCGGCTGGTTTGCCCTGAAGGGTGTCCCGGATCAGGGTGGGGGTCCCGCTGGGGTGCCTGGCCAGCCTGGGTGAGAGGCTGATGGGTGTTTGCAGGCTGGTCACACCCCCTTCAGGGTGGGGGTCCCCACTGGGGTGCCTGGCCTGCCTGGGTGAGGGGCTCATGGCTGTTTTCAGGTTGGCCACACCCCTTTTGGGGTGGGGGGTCCCCACTGGGGTGTCTGGCCAGTCTGGGTGAGGGGCTGAGGGCCGTTTTCAGGTTGGTCAAGCCCCCCGGCGACAGAAGCTCCCAGCCTCTCCATTTTTTCTTTTTTTAAATTTTTATTCTGGGATTTATTTACCTTCTAAAATTGAAACTTTGTAGCCTGTGAGGAGCTCAGAGCCGGCCAGGGCAGGTGGGAGGGAAGCTTGGCTTCCTCCATCGCCAGGGGCAACCCACGCCTCCTGCTTGCTCCAGCTCCGTGGTCACGGCTGGCTGAAACCAGGTATCTGGGGTTTATTTATCTTCTATAACTGAAACTTTGTTGCTTTGAGTGGAGCTCAGAGCTAGCCGCAGCAGGCGGGGAAGCTTGGCTTCCTCCATCATTGGGGCAACCAAGCCTCCTGGTTGCTCCAGCTCCGTGGCCGCCGGTCGCCATCTTGGTTGGGTTAATTTGCATATAGTTGCTCTGATTGGCTGGTGGGCGTGGCTTAAGGCATAGCGTAGGTACGGCCAATTTGCATGTTTGTCTTTTATTAGTATAGCTTATTGGGTAGCCTCTAAATGTAATCACAAACGTCCTTGTAAAGAGAGGCAGAGGGACATTTTACATTTACAGGAGAGGAGAAGGCAAAGTGGCTACCGAGGCAGAAATAGGAGTGATATAGCCTTAAGCCAAGGAATGCTGGCAACCACTAGTAGCTTCATCTAGATTATCTATTAGAACCTCCAGAGGGACTGTGACTGTGCCCACATCTTGATTCAACCTAGTGAAACTGATTTCAGATTTATGGCCTCCAGAATTGTGAGAAAATTTTGTGGGTTTTATTATTTTTAAAGTATAGGGGGAGCCCTAACTGGTTTGGCTCAGTGGATAGAGCGTCGGCCTGCGGATTGAAGGGTCCCAGGTTTGATTCCGGTCACGGGCATGTACCTTGGTTGCGGGCAAATCCCCAGTAGGGGGTGTGCAGGAGGCAGCTGATCAGTGTTTCTCTCTCATCAATGTTTCTAGCTCTCTATCCCTCTCCCTTCCTCTCTGTAAAAAAACAATAAAAATATATTTTAAAGTATAGGGGGATAAAACTAATTGTATGTGAAGCCATGAATGACAGAAAGCCCCAAAAAGCTAAGTGAAAAATAAAGTTTATTGGCTCATGCATGAGAAATTTGGGGAGTACCTATGTATAAGACATTGTATCCAGGACTTCAAATGTTGTCACAGGGCAGCCTTAAGTTTGTCTCTGTGCTCTGCTGTGTGTGTGTGTGTGTGTGTGTGTGTGTGTGTGTGTGTGTAAGCTTCATTCTTTGATTAGCTCTTCTTATGAGAGATGGCAGAGGTGGTTACCAATAGCTTAGCAATTATAAAAACACCTCTTTCCTAAAACAACCAGCAAAAGTTCTTGAACTGAATCTTACTATCTTATTTTGTGCTCCATGTCTTTCCTTGACTTAATCACTATGAATTTGATTGCCAGATTCAGTTCCTGTGCTTATCCCAAGAACTACCTAAAACTCAGGCACTGTGAATGGGGAGAGGTAGTTGCTCAATGAGAAACTGAGGTGTTATCAGAAGAAGGAAGATTGGATGCTGGGAGATAATGACAATAGTTCTATCTACTTAAGTAGTAAAACTACTGTAGAAGAATTGCATTGAATACTTTAATTAGATAAGAATGAGTAAGTCAGTTGAGAACTTATGGAGTCATTGAATTGAATTCCAAAGATGCACTCACTTTTATTATTTTCTTTGCCATTTTTAACTTTAAAAATTAAACATACATCTTTTACTGCTTGAATGCCATAAGGCTTCAGTATTGCACAACTCCAGGGACCACCACTTATAGGGTAGTCTATATGTACAAGGGTGCTCCCCTGTGCTCCATGGCATAGCATTTATGTAGATTGCATATGAATGGTATTGCCCAAAAGTGTGCATTGTGATGACTCTGAAACACTGACAAGTGTAGATATTGTCAAATATTTCATATGCATTATGTGAATTTTGGTTACTTGTTAGTGTTGTTATCAATAATTAATTTTTAAAACATTTTTTAGTATCCATGTGAGCTTTGAGGAAAGACTGCTGATTTTAAAATAATTTGATTTTGGAATTGATATTTGAAAGGATTTTATTTTCAGATTGCTTTTAGTATTAAATGGGCCACTAAGATAATTTAACCTATAATTCACTTATTGTATTTTAAGTATCAATTTAAGTAGCAACTTAATGAATATCCAGAATATATAAAGAATTCCTAAAACTCAACAGCAAAAATACAAGTAATTCAATTAAAAAATGGGCAGAGGAACTTGCATAGACATTTTTCCAAGGAAGATATACAAATGGTCAATAAGCACATGGAAAGATGCTCAATATCACTAATCATTATGGAAATGTAAATAAAAACCACAAAAACATACCACTTCACAGCAATTAAAAACTCTATTATCAAACAAAAAACAAACCAGAAACCAGTTAATAGGTGTTGGTGTGAATGTGTAAAAGTTGGGATTTTTGTGCATTGCTGGTAGGAATGTAAAATGGCACAGCAGCTGGGAAAAGCAGTGTGACTGTTCCTCAAAAATTTAAATATAGAATTATTATTTGATCCAGCAGTTTCACTTCTGGTCATACACACATGTACAAGCAGATATTTGTACATCTATTCATAGCTGCATTATTTGCAATAGCCAAAAGATCAAAACCAACCAGTGTCTATTGATGGCTGAATGAATAAACAAAATGTGGTACATACACAATTTAATATTATTGAGCCTTAAAAAGGAAGAAAATTCTTACACATAGTACGATATATGTGAACCTTGAGGACATTATGCTAAATGAAATAAGCTAATCGCAAAAGGACAAATACTCTGATTCCACTTATTTCAGGTACCCAAAATAGATTCATAGAGATAGAAAGCAGGATGGTATTTGCCATGGGTTAAGGCAGTGGTTCTCAACCTTCCTAATGCCGCGACCCTTTAATACAGTTCCTCATGTTGTGGTGACTCCCAACCATAAAATTATTTTCGTTGCTACTTCATAACTGTAATTTTGCTACTGTTATGAATCGTAATGTAAATATCTGATATGCAGGATGTATTTTCATTGTTACAAATTGAACATAATTAAAGCATAGTGATTAATCACAAAAACAATATGTAATTATAAATGTGTTTTCCGATGGCCTTAGGTGACCCCTGTGAAAGGGTCGTTTGACCCCCAAAGGGGTCGCGACCCACAGGTTGGTGACCCACAGGTTGAGAACTGCTGGGTTAAGGGGCGAGGTGAATGGAAAATATTGTTTAACTAGAGGCCCAGTTCATGAATTTCTTGCAAAGGTAGGGTCCCTAGCGGCTGCCAGCTGCTGGCGGGGGCCTCCCTTCCCCTGCTGCCAGCTGCTGGCTGGGGCCTTCCTTCATTCCGCGCTGCCCCCTGGTGGTCAGCGCACATCATAGCGAGTGATAAAACTCCCGGTCAGTCGAGGGGACACTTTACATATTAGGCTTTTATATATAGACTAGAGGACCAGTGCATGAAATTTGTGCACGGGTACGGTTTCTAGGCCTGGCCAGTGATTGAAGTGCGAGCGTCTGGTGTGGAAGGGCAGGTTCCAGCTGACCTCTGTGCCCCCGGGCCCCCATGTGCTCCCTTAGGCCTGAGTCCCCACGCGAAGATGCGGTGAGTGCGGCTGGACACCGCG